CACTGCTGGAATTGACTGACGCATTAAAGGAACAAGCTTTTTCGGTCTCCCAAAACATGATTCTCGGGACTGCCTTTTGAAGATCTTTATTTTTTTCCCACAAATTTTCATTTAGGGCAAACTGAGAAACTGTGAAAGCGTTTAACGTGCACTAACAAACCGAGATGTATGGTTTTTTTATGAGCAAGTGAAAAGCCCCCTAGGAGCAATTTTTCCCATAACTGGCCTCAGAAATCTGCTATCAATACACGTGAAAGCACGAGACGAAAAGAGTAGAAGATTTCTATCCGAGCTGTGTTTAGCAAATTTTGGCATCCTCCCTTGATTCTCTCAGCGCATTTTGGTGTCTAATATTCAGCCAGTCCATTTACTAACTTTATTTTTCCTTCACCTATCATACACTCTGACTTTTCTTGGTCTATATCTTTTTCTCTTGTAGCTTCATTTGGTGACCTATAACACAAAGTACCGCGATTTTGCTACTGCTGCTGATAAAACCGATGGCTTGTCTGTTATTGGTGTATTCCTTCAGGTATGAAAAACTAATCTGGTCCCAAAATTAGTTCATTATGATCAGTTTAGCACAACTAAGAAACTGAAAACAGATGGCAGCATAAAAACATCACCATTTCAAATTTGTGTGAAATACCCGACTAGCTTTGATTGAATAATTAAAAGTTATTTACTAAAGAAGGTATAACCAAGATAAGTTAACACTCACGGAACTAACATAAATTTACAGAGCGTAATATCTATAATTATCATATACACACGAGTGTTTTACTGGAAAATACATCACTCGTAAATTCATGCGAGACTACATCCATAATCTTACAAGTNTAGCTTCATTTGGTGACCTATAACACGAAGTACCCCGATTTTGCTACTGCTGCTGATAAAACCGATGGCTTGTCTGTTATTGGTGTGTTCCTTCAGGTATGAAAAACTAATCTGGTCCCAAAATTAGTTCATTATGATCAGTTTAGCACAATTAAGAAACTGAAAACAGATGGCAGCATAAAAACATCACCATTTCAAATTTGTGTGAAATAGCCGACTAGTTTTGGTTGAATAATTAAAATTTATTTACCAAAGAAGGTATAACCAAGATAAGTTAACACTTACGGAACTAACATAAATTTACAGAGCGTAATATCTATAATTATCATATACACACGAGTGTTTTACTGGAAAATACATCACTCGTAAATTCATGCGAGACTACATCCTTAATCTTACAAGTGAGAATATTGATGACGTCATTTCCCGCTTTCTAATGGTTGTTTCCTCAAAGAGTCAGTTCGTCTACCATTTAATGAGAAGAAAATTACATGGTGGCTTGAGGATATGAACTTTATTTTCCCGAGTTAAAAACAATATTTTACTTACTCGCTGTTGGCTTCGTAAAGTATTGTTTTTACCACTTGAAAATAAAATTGATTTCTTCGCGCTACCGTGTAATATACTCTCTATATACTTTGTTACTGCTAAGTGTATTAATCATGCGTCGATGCAGCACAACAGTTTCTCTCACAGCAAATAACTTTGCCAATTCAATTTATCATTCCATTCGCAACCTCTCTTTTTCGTACAAGACTTCTCGAGCGTAATAATGTTGTAATTATTTTTTAAATGAAGGGGGGTGATGATGACGATGGTGACAGCAGTTATTCGTTACGCATGTTGGCCATGTCAATGTGGAGGATAAGGAAGCCTGGTAAGAGTAAGATTTATCTGTTGTTTCTGATTGAGACAAACCCTCGGTCTTGAGAGCTTAAGACTTTGTGAGCACATTTATCCCTGTATAGAGATGCATGAGATCTGCTCGAGTCTACGTTAAGCACAATCTTGTGAAAATTAATTGGATGGTTCAAACTTTAAAAGAGTGCATGGGCTCGTTACCGCTTTGGTTATCCGGAAATTGTGCGGTTTTTGAAAGCCAATATCTCCTTGAATATTACACCCAATGAGCTAAACTTTCACCATGTTCTAAATTCACAAGCTCCCCAACTGTTTACAGTCAATTCGTGCAACCATCTTTACGCAAAGTCATATGCTAATGAGGGAAAATGTGAACAATGACGTTATTAAAGATCGCCCTTTACAGTCTGAGCTATTCTTTCACAGATGCTGACTTTCCGGCTATGGCGTATTTGTACAACTTGGTACCCAAACTGAAAGATCTGTCAGGAACATCCTTTTACTCGTACAAGGGATCTCTGACCACCCCTCCCTGCTACCAGTCAGTCAATTGGATTGTGCTCAAAAAGGCAATTTCTGCTGGTGAACGAGAGGTGATTTTTTTAATTATTGCAACACCATACTGGAGGGAAATGTATTTAATATAGGAGAATCTTTGTTTACAATATTTGCCTCATTACCATAAGCGATGCAGTTTCTGATGGAGCTACAAAGAGATTAACACTGAATATTGAAAGGGCACAGCACGATTAACTGTCCCAAGGAATCTGAGCGCGATGTATTGAATACTTTTTGTGCGACGCGGATTTAAAAGCTCAAAATTTTACAAAGAATGTATGAGCTCATTAGCGCTTTTGCCACACAGAAATTTTGATGTTTTCGAAAGCCAATTTCTCCTCGAATATTACACCCAAAGAGCCAGAAATTTCACCACTTACTACTAAGTTTCACAAGCTCTTTAAGTTTTTCTAGTAAAATCGTGTCTAGCGTAATACCTTCTATGCGCAAAGTCGTATGCTAATGGCGAAAAATGTAAACAATGACGTCAGCAAAGATTCGCCTATAGAAGAAATCTTTTAGGGTTATATCTGTTTCATCTCCGTTTCGGTTGACTTGAAAAACATTTAAGCGTTTGCTTTAGCTCTTGAATAAACAAAAACAAAAGCAAGCCAAATAACCCTGTTCAAGCTACAGTTCCCAAAAAGATATCTTAATCCTGTTACCCTAATTAGGTCTTCACAGTAACCAAGTCACGAAACGTCTGAAAACCTGTGTATACAACTTCTAATCTTTTTTCAATCTCAAGATCATATTCCAAAACACACGCCGCATCAAATCTTACTTTCCATGCAAAGATCGCTTGAACCGCTCACAGAGGTCCAAAGTCATCTATAAATCTGGTTAAGAGGACTGTGACGAATTTTACGTTGGCAAAACAAAACGAAGACTCCATGACAGAAAAACAGAACATTTCAAGGCCCTCGCTAAAAGTGACCATTCATCAGCTGATTATGAGAAAACCGCTGGTCACAACATCAAATGGGATCATTTTGACATTTTAGCGTCCGGCAAAACTGACTTTCATTGCAAAATTGAAGAGACTCTGTTCATTCAAGAGCTAGAGCCTTCCCTTAATGTCAATGTCAGTAGTGAGAAGTTGTTGCTTTATTAGCTGTTAATCCTCGTGATGTCTAGACAAGTTAACGTACTGCTGCAGATCGTTGTTCTCAGTCTAGGTTCCAGACCTCTCACTTTTACGATATAGATAGTTTTCACAAAATTGTAACGGTCACTTTTGGAAATGTATGTAGACTAGCATACGAAACGTTAAGTCTCGTATTAAAATGCGATGGAATATGAATGTTTATCACCACTGTTTGCGTTATATTCTTAAATATGAGTTGTATTGTACTGTGTCTCAACCATGCTAAAATGTAACCACTCTTATTATATGGCTAGCTCCGTGAGCGGGCAAGATGAAAAAAATCCTGCGCTGTGATTGGCTACCCGAGCGGGCAAAATGGGGCTATCTTGCCCGCTCGGGTCTACCCGCCGCTTCCCGCATGAGAAATTTCC